TGCTTACTTACATTGCTGTAATTCTATAAATTAATTAGAAAACACTACCATCTTTGTCTTCCCATTCAAGTACCTGATTTGTATCTCTATTCAAATTCTCTACAGAATTTTCTGTTACATTCTTCTGTATACAAGTCTTCTGTTACATTCTTCAGTATAGTTTCACAGTATTTTTCCATCACTTAAGATACTATTGTAAATGCGATCTTTTTACATTGTATTTTCTAACTGATGACTCTGAGACATAGGAAAGCTACCAATTTTTATGGCAAAGAACGACTGTTTTGTCCTCCTTGTCTCATCTGTTTTTTTCCCTGTTTTGAGTAGCACTTCTACAATGATGTTACATAATACTTATCAAAGGGATCCTCATCTTGTTCCTATACTTAACAGGCTTAATAGACAAGCAACAAAATGAACCTAATTCATACTGACCCTCCTCCCTTCACTTCCACCATCTATATGGTTTTGTACACCAAAGACCCACTGATTCACCCAACAGTTTTTGTGAACAACCTGCTTCATCATAAGTCTTATACTCCTTCACTAGATTAAAATCTGGGCACCTGATTCAAGGTCTCACCTTGGACCCAGAAGCCAGCCTGCCCCCTAGCTGATCGTACTTCAAGGAAGTGATGGCTGCTTTGTGTCCATTGAAGGTCACATTTCCTTCCCCACTCAGGAGACTGAAGATTCGGATAGACCCATCCTCATAACCAACAGCTAAGTGCAGCCCATCTGGGGAGGGACACAAGCAAGTGACTTCTTGTTTAAGTCCCTGAAGGATAAGGATCTGAAATCACAAGAATCATAAACAACACACAGGTGGAGTTAAGTGCATGATTAAAGGAAAAATGTGGGAATAATCAGGGACAGTAAAAATAAGAGCATTAATAAGTCCAAATCATTCTTTAAATAATAATGAAATTCTGCAATGCATCTCAAGTTCTTTCATGTAGGAATTACTATTTGTACAGGGCAACGAAACATTCAAGAAAGGGTAAAATTATTTTCTCCAAAGCTCTACATCAGCGTGGTATGTACAAAAATTTCCCAAGTGATAAATTACTAAATCCTTATCCTAAGTTAATACCAAATGATATTCCATCAAGGGTTATAAGCACATCTATGCTTTAACTGAGCCCCATCTTGAAAGAAACCAACCTGTATGGCACTAGGGTGCTACACGGTTTACTCCAAGAAACTGGCTGGCAACAAGTATCAAAGTATTAATCTCTTGGGAGTCACAAAGTGACTGGGCAAGACTAAAATGCCTATATTTTGGTGTGGTAGTAATGGCAGGCTTAGGGAACTTAGCAACACAAAGTGTCAAAGCCTAGTTTAACAAACTTGAGCCTCCTCTGTTCAATAAAAAAAGGTTCCACCACCATAGCTGAGTATTATTCCTTTTAAATGCCGAAAATTTTATAACTAGCAGTGAGGGCAGGTAAAAGAACTTGAAAAATAAAGAGCTGGTAGAGAACACCAAACGTGTCTGGAATTGTGATTACAAAAATTACCTGTAGATACTACAAATGGATACCTAAGACGTAAGCTCCTATTCGGTCATGGCTTTCAGAATTTAGATTTCAGAATTTTTCAGCATTTAGTGCAGAAAAAAAACAACAGAACCTGATACTTGGCTACCTAGAAGTAGTCCAAAGAAGAAAGATTTCTCTTTTAGAGGTACATACATTAAAAAAAAAAAATCAATCAATCAATCTGTGCATAATACATCAGAGCTCTCCCACTTTGACCTCTCCATCCTCAAATACTTATAAATCAGTTATCAACCTAGTTGATCTCTGGCTTACCTTCTCTCCTTTCCTTAAGTCCCAGATGAAAACATGTTCGCAGGCTGGTACTGCCACATAGCGTCCTTTTTCACCACGAAGTGTCACAAAGACAATATTACCTTTTTGGCTGCCAATAAGGCCAAAGACTGCACTGGCAACATAGCGTAGGTACTGCTTCGTGAGCCCCATGTTATAACGCCTGATACCGCAAGCGAGGCAGCTGTGCACACACACATAAGAGTCAGTTCATTGGGTACCTCGGTTTTGCTGGGCTGGCAAACACCACCATTTATCATGTGATTAAAGCATGTAACTTGTGACTTCTTAACCTTTATTTACTCTGAATAAGGCACTGACATAGATACCTAGACATCATTTTGTATCTGCTGCTGACTCAGCATTTAAGTCCTCATTCCTCAAGCTTCAAATTGGTCACCCTGTTATGCCCACCTCACAAATAACTAACACGTGGCCTTAATGCAGCTAAACAATTTACTTCTGTTCATTCAACCACCGTCAAAGTTTTTATACCGAGATTGACAAGATTGAGCTGGAAAACATTTACAATGAATTACTGTAATCCTACTACCTAGATAAAGCACTGTTTTAGACACTGGAGTGTTGAGTAAAATAAAATCCCTAACCTCGTGGCACACATCCAGCACAGTGAGTCTCAAACACTAGTATGTATCCGAATCACGTGTGGGCCTATGAAAACAGACTGCTGGGAATCACATCCACCAAACCTCCCCAGTGCTTCTGATTCAGTAGGTCTGAGGTGGGTCCCAAGATTTTTTTTTTTTTTTCCTAAGAAGTTCCTAAGCGATGCTGTGGTTGTGTGGTTTCTCACCTGAACTACTGTTCTAGTACATGTAGGTCCTTCTTTATTCCCAATCAGGTCAGCTACCTACCCTTGGCACAGAAAAATGATAAAGCAACTTGGCATATAATTTTTGAAAGATGCTTTACTTAGTTCTCACCCTAAATCAAATTCATTGAAAACACTGTTTATGGATAAAAGAGACAAAAAATCAAAGAGATACTAAGTCAAGCCTGTCTGGTCTTGATATGAAAGAGTGAAAAGTGCTCCAAACACCAATGCAACCTAAAAAAAAAAAAAAAAAACAAACTAGACAGCAGTTACACCCTTTTTTGGGAAGCGGATTTTTATTGTTGGTTTTTACATATGGTTTAACTCGACAGAGTCCATTTCTGATTACACTTGGTTTTAGCCTACCTTAACAGAAAAATATTCAATGCCAACTCTCTTTATTATTTTCTTTTAGTAATCACTGACTTTTCCTCATCTATGAACCAACAAAAGCCAGGTAAAAATCAAGGTAAGAATATTAACATGGTGATAATGCTGTTAGCCTAAGCCATTTGATCAACTCTTCCCCAATTCCTTATTCCTCCAGCCCCTCTACTGTAGTTCTTCCTCTTGGTAGTCTTTGGCCATCTATCAGTTCTTTCCACAGTATTTTCCTTGGAGACTTCACAAAGCATACGTAAGCGCAGGGACACCTACACCTCTATTTCCAGTCCTGTCCATGTACATGAATACAAGTGATAGAATTCCAAAAACTTTCACGAGATATCCATCCAAATACCTTGCAGCATCACACTGAACATGGGTAAAACCAAACCTACCTTGCTTCCTGACCCCTTCATTTTTTCCTTATTCTAAGACACACAATCCCCCTTGCCATTCAGGCTCATAAACCTTGTATGTAACCTTGTATGAGCAAACTTTGGCTCATTAATAAAAAAAAACTATAGCAGCCAAGCCTTAAAGAGTATTTACTATATTGATATATTAAATGTATACACCTGAGTAAACATACGTAGTCATTTAATTACAAATAGTAATTGAGTTAATTAAAAGGGTTAACATATGCAAAACACTTGGAAAAGCATCTAGGGGCACCTGGGTGGCTCAATCCATTGAGCCCCAGACTCTTGTTTCCACTGGGGTCATGATCTCAGGGTTATCAGATTGAACCCAAAGCTCAGTGGGGAGTCTGACTGACATTCTCTCCCTCTGCCCCTCCCCTGCTCACACTCTCTCTAAAATATTTTTTTAAAAATCATGTAGAATATTGTAAATATAAGGATAAAAAATTCTTCACAATAACCTTACAAAGTAGGTATTATTCTTACCTCCATTTTACAGACAAGGAAACTAAGCAAAGAGATGTGAAATAACAAGCCCAAAGTCATTTACCCAGTTTTAAGCGCCAATGCCAGGTTCCAATCCTCAAATTCCAAAATTTGTTCTTTTAACCTCTAAGCCAAACTGCTTCTCTCTGCCTCTGTCCTCTTTTTTGTCAGAGGCTTCCACCTAATTCATTGGTTTTCTGAAGTAGGATTCTTTTCTCTTTCCACTTTCTGTTCCAGCTCTTTATCACTGGGTTCTTGTCAGGTTAGTTGGTTTCCTTCCCTGTCCTGACACCTTGCTTCCTTTATACTGTTCCCGTCACCTAGAATAACGTGCACTATCATGTCATCCTATTTTATCAAATCGCTGTAAACCTCTGAGGTCTACTTCCTCCGAGGCCAGACCATTCTCGTCGCCTTTTCTATCGCCTCAATGTTTAAAGTTATCTTCCATACAACTTGGAACTAGTCACATGCACAGATCTTACCGCCTTTTGGAACCAGGTCACGACCTAACCTCCTTCCGCGCGCGACCTACCTACCATCCCAGCTTCCTACCTACGGAGCCTGAAAATGTTTCTATGATGCACCGAGGGGCTAGGGTGTAGTAACAGACCTGTCCGACGTCCCTAACCCGAGTCTTCAGTCAGGACAGGCTGAGGGGCTGCTCCGCGCACGGATCGTGCTGTCCGGGCATCCTAGGGAGATCTGGTCCACGCACCAGGCCCGGGAGTTAGCGGGAGGCCGCCGGGGACGGTAGGTTCACAGTCGCCACCCTAGCAACAGCCGCCACGTGCCCCCGCCTCACCTGATGCTGGAGCCACGGAGGCCTCAGCCAGGACCACGCAACTGTGAGCGACGAGCAAATGCGACCGAACGCCATGCCCTTAAAGTACTTACCTTGGCCTCCACGAGGCTACGAGCTACCTGGGCCCGCCTACGGGACCTACCCCTTCCGGGTCCTCTTCGGTACCCACTTCCGCCCGGCATTCCTTTTGCCTTCGCGGAGGAAATGACGTAGAAGGTCTCTGGTTGGTGAGGGCCGGCCGGTAGCGGAAGTCGTTGTTTCGCCACTCAAAGCTCTTGCAGCTGGTCGCTCCAGCCTCCTGGGACTTTGACTCGCCTGACCGCGGAGCTCCTGACCAGGGGTGTCCGCGGATGCCGCTCGGACGTTTTCTACGAGGAGCTTAAACCCGCCCCGCTGCCGCCCGGATGGGACCGCCGGAGTGCTGTGAGAAGCGGGACTGGCACCGGGGCCGGGAGGGAAGGCGGGGCGGAGCGGGCTGGGGGCGCGGCGGAAGGCTCTGAGGACTCGGCGGAGGCTGAGGGTGCGGGCAGAGAGGATTAGTGCTGACCGCTCTCTGGAGGAATGAGCCTGCCGCTGCTTCACCAGAGGTTGTCTGGCTCCTCTGGCCCGCGGCGCTGTCGGGAACAACCTATCGAGGAGAAGAGAGAGGGTAGGCGGACCTGGGCACCAGGGATAGTGGTGCTGGAGTCGCCAGGGAGGCACGCGCCCAGATGCAGGTGAGATAGGGCGGCTGGGACCCTTGCGGGTTCCAGTCCCAGGGTCGAGTGTGATTTGCCGCGCGTGTGGACCTGGCGTTCCACAAACCGAGAGCAGCTCGAGTCAGGGCTGGGTTAAGGCGCTAAGCCCAAGATGCTGAGTCGTCTGGATCCCCGCAGTCCCTGGAGTGACATTGGTCTGGCTGTGTTTCCGCTCCCTGGCCACTTGAAGGGGAAGTGACCAGGGCTGACTCCTCCTTGCTTGGTAATTGAGGATTTGGTGCTCTGTCACCAGGTAGAAATTAGCTTTTCTCTATTGCCGCTCTGTCCGCTTCTGTTCTTGGGCTGTACAGAAATGTTCGAAGTGAGTTCCGATGTCTGTAGTGGTGGAAAATTAAAGCTAACATATTGCTGTACAAAAGAAATAAGCCTCTGCCTTCGCTTATTGGACAATATATCCGCAGCCAACCTAGAAATTAGGCTTTTATCTAAATTATCTGGTTATTTTCAGATGTTTCTTGAGTTTTTTTCCCCCGTTTCTTGAGTTCTTAAGACATGTGCATCCAGTCTTCCACAGTCAAGAAAATTGCAGTAGCGAATGGATATGATGAGACTGTAGATAGATAGATGTTGTAGGTGTTTTGAAACAAGATTACTGTGGGTTGGATGAATGAGAAGGGAGGAAATTGTGGCAACAGACTATTTTTACAATAAATTTCATGGGGGAAGGAAACATTTAGGTGGGTGTGTATGGTAAGTATCTCCCGTAGGACATGCGCATTGTATTATTATTGGGGAAAAAAAAAATGTGTGCTTCAGTAGAAAACTGCATAGTCTAGATTCTATCTAGAAAGCTATTCCAAGAAAGCTATTTTACAACTCTGTGAACTACAGAAAACTAATGATAAGTTCTGTACTTTGAACAGGTTCATAAGCAAACACTAAACCTAGTAAATCAATACTAAATAACTTCTGTCTGTGGACATACAGATTCTGTACTCTTAGAGATTCAGTGGAACTTATGTTCTTATACATTAATTTCAATATTCCTGATCTGTTAATGTGTTCAGTTTTGGGATTCCTTTTATCTATCACCTGACAGGTTCTCTTTTGGGTTAAATAAAATGTTGAACACATTTTCATCTTTATATTTGAATGAGTCATGATTCTACTTAAAAAAATTCCTTTTAATGTTACAAAATATTATGAGAAGGGACAATCACAAATGGAAAAAATAATTTTAATAAGAGTTGGTGTAAGAGCAACTGTGTGCTAAGATAATGCATCTTATAAAATTCCCAAATCGTACAGTTTTTAAAGAATATAATCCTAATTTTTAAGTTTCAAATTGTTCAATGTATTAATACTTATAATTAAGACATGGGAAACTTTTAGTATGAAGGTGGTACTACAAACTCACATTGGAGCCTGTACTTTGGATATTTTTGAGTGACCATATTAAATTTGATCTGGGCTATTGATACTGCTTAGAAATATTTTTGCTATACTGGATTTATTGTTGACATACCTAACTGCTTCACCTAAGTAACTTAAACACCTAAGTAACTTTAAAAAAGTTTATTTCCATTTGCATAGAATGAATTTTAATATTATAATAGATTTGGATGGAGGTATTATACACAAAAATCTAATGTGCCCTGAAGTTTTAAATACTGAAATACAAGGCATAAAGAATGGTAAATCTGTAATTTATCTCTTTATACTTTTATCCAGGCCTATCTAATCACTATACCCATTTTGTAGAACAAGCAAACAGATTTAAAGTTCTTGTTTTTCTCTTTTAAATGATACCATTTTCTATTTATCCAGACAAAATTGGGCTATGCCGAGATAGTAATCTAGAGTATTCTGTCTGATTCTTCCTAGTCTTAAACAATAAAAATCTAACCTCTCTACCAATCCAGTTATTCATACAAAGCATTATTTAGAGGACTTCTTAAACTAAAAGATTGAAAGACTTTTAAAAAACTGAGCATTTGGGGGCACCTGGGTGGCTCAGTGGGTTAAGCCTCTGCCTTCAGCTCAGGTCATGATCTCAGGGTCCTGGGATCGAGCCCCGCATCGGGCTCTCTGCTTAGCAGGGAGCCTGCTTCCCCTCTCTCTCTACCTGCCTCTCTGCCTACCTGTGCTCTCTCTTTAAAAAAAAAAAAAAAAAAAAAAAAAAAACAAAACATTTAACCTAAATGTTTACAATATTTGAGAAAAAGACAAGCCACAGAGTAATGAGAATGGTTTATACTCATTATTCGTTTGAATTATAAAGGATATATGGAGAGCTCTTGTTGTCTTTAGATCTTCATTCGTGAAGATACTGAAGGTAACCCTTAATATAGTATGGCTAAGGAAATAGATATGATCCATTCTGGAATCTTCTGTTTGCCTCATGTAGACTTTTTGAACCTGGACATGGATGTCTTGCCTCAGGAACCTTTAATACTAAGGTTTAGTGTTTGCTTATGAACCTGTTCAAAGTACAGAACTGATCAACTGATATTCAGTGGAAAGTCTTAATTTAGGTATAGTAGCCTTCTCCCCGCCTCACCTGATTACTCTGTATTATCACTGGGATTCTTTTTTTTTTTCTTTTTTTAAGATTTTATTTATTTATTTGACAGAGAGAAACACACAGAGAGGGAACAGAAGCAGGGGAAGTGAGAAAGGGAGAAGCAGACTTCCTGCTGAGCAGATAGCCCTATTCGGGGCTTGATCCCAGGACCCTGGGATCATGACCTGAGCCAAAGGCAGATGCTTAATGACTGAGCCACCCAGGCCCCCCTATCACTGGGATTCTTAATCTGAGTCTGGGAATCTTCTCAAATTTATTTGCAACTCTTTGCCTCTATGAGCTCCTCAGATGCTCACATTTTGAGTAGTAAAAGGGTCTTGACTTCTTACATGATTCTCAAAGGGATCTGTGACCCCAAGAATGTTAAGAACCACTGTACCTTAAGTATCAGGAATCATGGGGGGCGCCTGCGTGGCTCAGTGGGTTAAGCCTCTGCCTTCGGCTCAGGTCATGATCTCAGGGTCCTGGGATCGAGCCAGGCGTTAGGCTCTCTGCTCAGCAGGGAGCCTGCTACCCACCGCCCCCCCCGCCTGCCTCTCTGTCTACTTGTGATCTCTCTGTCAAATAAATAAATAAAATCTTTAAAAAAAATTAAAAAAAGAAAAGAAGAAGTATCAGGAATCAAATTTTCCTGCCTAGCTTGGATTTGCTGTGTTGGAGGAGAAGGGACATTTAAATCTCTTTTTGGTGAGAAGATCAATTGCAACTTAGAGATGGAGCTGAAAAGGAATTTACCCTTTATTAAATGTCATGACACTTTCTATATAATGCCATTAAACTTTGAGAGCTCTCAACTGTATTTATTACTCATTAAGTACACAATATCTTATGGGTGACAATGACTTTTAAGATCTGGGAAGAAGGGACATCTGGGGGCTCAGTCATTAAGCGTCTGCCTTCAGCTCAGGTCATGATCGCAGGTCCTGGGATCGAGCCCCCCATCAGGCTCCCTGCTTGGTGGGAAGCCTACTTCTCCCTCTCTCACTTCCGCTTGTGTTCCCTCTCTCACTGTGTCTTTCTCTGTCAAATAAATAAAATCTCTTAAAATAAAAAAAAGATCTAGGAAGAAGGTCCCATAAATTATATGGACAAGAGGTGATTAGAGATATAAGAGAACCACCAGTAGTGTACTGTCAAAGTAGGTAATAGAATTTCAGAGAAAGAATGATCAATAGGTAATGCAACTAAAATGTGGTTAGTTCCTGGATTTGACATTTGGTCAATCATATGAGACCTTGAAAGAGCAGTTTTAGCATTGTTAAGTGATGGAGGTAAAACTTCAGTAAGTTGAATAAATGGGAGAAAAGGAAATAAAGCGGCAAAACAGATTATGCTTATAAAGTTAAATGATAGAATGAGGAGTTTCATTGGTGTCTGAAGAAGAAATGCAGTAGGAAATTTTTTTGAGGGTAGGAGGACCTAGGGGATGGAGAGATCAGATATTGTTAAGGGGGAGTTAAGACATTCTGTTACAGGAGAGCTGATGAAGTAAAATGTATAAATGAAGGCAATTTGGCAGGTTTAAAGTGTGGCTCCCAGATGTGCCCTTACCTCTGTAAAACTCTTCTACTTTTGGTCTCAGCTGTCACTTTGTGGAAGAGACATTCTCTGCTTCTCGAAATTCTAAATTAGCTTTCCACCTTGTTCTTCTTTACAGAACATTTCTCACAGATTTTAACTATGTATTTCTGTGATTATGTATATTTGTGTGATTTTTGGGAGCCACACTTTTTGTGAGTCTGTCTCTTCCATTAAAGTCTCCATACCTAACAGTACTTGAATAAATGAGTGCCTGGAACAAATAAGCATTTATTATCTTGTGTTTTCTGTGGGTCAGGAATTCAGTAGCAGCTTGCAGTGAGGATATCAGCTGGGCTGAAGTCATTTGAAGCCCAACTAAGGCTGGAAGATCCAACGTGATTCCTTCACCTGCCTAGGCATTGATGCTGGTTGTTGGCAGGAACCCTCAGGTTCTTCCCATGGGGGCCTTTCATGGGCTGCTTGAGTGTCCCGCATCATGCAAGCACTCCAAGAAAGAGCATGATAGCTTTTATGACTCACCTTGGAAGTCATATGCAGTCATTTCTGCAGTGTCCTGTTGGTTACAGGGGTCAGCCCTATTCATTATAGGAGGCAGCTATACAGGGGCATAGATATCAGGAAGCAGGTATCATTGAAGGACATCTTAGAGGATGTTAACCACAGATGCGATATAGTATAGCATAGAGAGTCACCCAAGAATTATTAAAACAGTTTCATAATAGTGTTGTTGGAGGGTCCAGCTGACCTTGGAAAGCATGCATTTGTCTTGGCAGCAGACAGGATAATTACTGATTTTTTTTTCTAGTAGCATAAGAGCAGGATTAGAGAAGACAGATGTTGGATTGATCTAGGTGTTGGGGATTAACAAATCATTTCAAGAGCAGACATTGAGATAAATAAGTGTATCTTAATTCAGCAGTGTGTGTTTGGTTTTTGGTGCTCATTAGAGTCTTTGACAGCAAGTGTTTTAATCTCTGCCACACATGGAGACATCTTTATCTCAACAGTGGTACAGGTGACTTTCACATGGGCTCTGAGAAAGTTGTAACAACTTTTATTGTGCCTTGCTTTGAATTCTCACAATAACCCTAGGAGTGTATTACTCTTATTTTTGAAATAAGGGAACCCTGGCTTAAGTCAAGGATAGCAGAGCTGTTAGGTCGTAGACCCAAACTCGGGCCTGCTAACAGAACCCCAGCTCTCACATTGCACCACCCTGCCTCTCCCTCGCAGTATAATTACATATGGAAATATTTATCTCAAAATACTAAAGAAGCCAAGCTCAAAACTGTACATAATCATTTCACCTATCATAGAAAAAGATAAGAACTCTATTAAAGTTTGGGAGTTTTTCCTTTTTTAACTTTTTTCCTAAAATGTTCTATAAGTGAGTATTACTTAGAAAGAAAAATTATTTTAAAGAATTGTGTCCTGAAAGTACTTGAGTTTGCAAAGTGAAAACTAAATTTAATGTTTAATGGAATTTTTATATTACAGTTAAGAAGTTTTAACATGGGGCGCCTGGGTGGCTCAGTTGGTTAAGCAGACACCTTCAGCTCAGGTCAGGGTCCTGGGATCAAGTCCCACATTGGACTCCCTGCTCAGCAGGAGTCTGTTTCTCCCTCTCCCTTTACCCCTCCCCCCACTTGTGCTCTCTCTCCCTTTCTCTCATGCTCTCTCTCTCAAATAAATAAATAAATAAAATTTAAAAAAAAATTTAGCATGAGTCATTGTCCTCAACAATCTGTGAATAATTTTTTAAAGTATTAATTTCTGCAAAGTGTCATTCCATTGAGCTTCAGGTGGTTCAGCCATGGAAAATAAATGTAGTCTCTATTTGTCCGCTATTCAGCTTGTCCAGCTCAGGTTTGAACACTTTTTAACAGATCAACAGATTTCGTGGTTGCCTCCAGTTTCAAAGCCAATGGATGACTAAACACCAACTTCTAGATAAAATTAGTTTCTTTATTTCAGTAATCTCAAAGGAGTATTTTGTATCAAACAAGAATAATTTTCTTACATAGTTTTATCGTGGTATAATCTCTAAGGCCTTTCAGAAATTGTTAAGTGATCACGTTTCCTACTCCATGTGCTGGTACAGGAATTAACATATTGTGCCTGATCCATGGTTCATTCCACTTAGTATGTCACACTTCTCACCAAGAAACACTGAAGAATTAGATGTAGAAAGGCATGTTTGTTCTCCTTGCCTCTAACAATAAACATAAGGATCACACAGAAAAATTTCTCTAACAAGTTCACACGGCAGCTTTCATTCCCTAATTGTCTGTCTGCTCAGTTTACCAGTGACCTTTACCTTACCAAACCCACTAATCAATCCTCAGTCCTGTTCCTCAACATTTCAGTAGCATTTACCCTAACTGATCCTTCTCAAGCACTCCTCAAAATGTGGTCTTCACGTTGCTTTTAGTCTGCCATACTTTCCTGGTATTCCTTCCTGTCTTATCCTCTCTATCTCATTTTTCTTTAACTTGTCCTCTTTGCAGCCTATAAGTTTTGCCTTAGGACTCAGTCTTCTGATTTCGTTTCTCCTTTTGTATTATGTCTCTTGGTAATCATGTCCAGTGTTCCCATAGCCTTAAACACCACCCACAGGCTGAGTCTTCCATATTTATATCTGTAGTCTGACCTCTCCTCTAAGCTCTAGCCTCATATAGCCAGTGCATGTCTGACGTCAATACTTGGCCAAAGGAGGAGCATCTCAAACTTCATACATGCAAAGACACATGAGGAAGAATGACCTTGATTGTCACTCCACTGAACAATCTATTCCAGTCTTCCCCTTCCCTGTAAATAGAATTAACATCTACTCAGTTGCTCAAGCAAGAAATCGAGGAGTTACCTTACCTTCAATTCTGTTCTTTTCCCTCACCCTTCATATTCATTTAGCAAGTCTTGTTGACTCTACCTTCAAAACGCATTCCAAATCCAATCATTTATCATCGCCTTCGTCACCATCTCACCTAAATCCCTGCAGCCATTTTCTGCTCTGGTCTTTGGTTGTACTCTCATCCCTACTGGATCTCACTGTAGCTTGAGTAATCTGACCAAGTATTATCTATATTAAGTCATTCCATTTGTCAAGATCCTCTAACAGCTTCCCCCCATATTATGATAAGACCAAACCTTCTTATGGCTTACACACTGCATCATGTAGCCTTTCCCTCTCGCATTACCCTCATCACCTACCATTTATAACCTAGCTTATTCTGTTCTATCCAGATCAGTTTCCTTGCCCTTCCCGGAAGACATAAGCTCCTTCCTGCCCTTTGGGCCTTTTCTCTCACTATTTCCTCCTCCTAAAACTGCAGGGTTTCACATGGCCTGCTGTCTCACTTTATTTAGCTCTCTACTCAGATACTACCTTTTTTCTCATAATAGTTATTGCTTCCAGTCATTGCTTTGGATACCTGCTTACTTTATTGTTTATCATCCCCTTTCCAGGAAGCATAAGCTCAATAAGTGCTTGGACTTGCTGTCTTATTCACCAGTGTATCCCCAGTGCCTCGAACAGTACCTGACATGTAATAGATGCTTACAAAGATTTGTGAATGAACGAATCTGCATTTTACTGAAACAGCTCCCTGACTTCTTGGCAAATTAAATATCCTTACTTCTCTTTGTAATACTCGATACTGTGTGTCTTCCTGTCACCCTCTTCTTCTAGTTTCTGTATTTCCCTACAGCCAGCATCCTACACATCAGTGTCTCATGCCATATCTTAGAAATTGTCCAATCCTGTTAATTCTTCTTCATATGTTGCCTCTCAAATCCATGCCTTCTGCTCCATCTGCTTTTCCTAATAAGTTCATACTTTTATTATCTTTTGTTACTTGACTGCAGGAACCTCCCTGCTTCTCATTTTGTCTTACTCAGTTATCATTTAGTAAGATTTATATTATCACATCTTATCATTTGGCTGAACTCTACTTTTTTTGACCGGACTCTTTAAATTGTCCATATTATTTATCTTTATATCTCTTGCAGCACCTAGCAAGCCCCCCTCCTGTCAATTGCAGACATTCAGTGAATGTTGAATGAGTGTCTTGGGTTTCTGGAAAGTAGAACTGGTGGGCCATGTGATTATTTTAATGGCTGTGATTCTTTGAAAAGAAATTGTGCTGAAATAATCCCCCTTTATTCCTGTTTTAGAGAAGCTATAGCAATTCTTTGTTATATATTGGTTTTTATGGAGTATTTTAAGCAGCTAGTCATACAATGTCCTTTAGAGTATTTCACAGTAGATATTTGTTTTTTGATCTAATAGAAATAAGGTAATATCTGTACTTCTCTATTAAAACAGTTCTTTCTTTTCTTTTAAGCTAAAGTCTGCAGTGAATATTGAATCCTGAGGAATTTGGGGAAAGACATTCCATGGATCCCTTGGGTGCACCTTCCCAGTTTGTGGACGTGGACACACTACCAAGCTGGGGCGACTCATGGGAAGATGAATTAAATACTTCTAATACTGCAGCTGAAACGTTTCAGGAAGACACTATTAGATCACCTTTTCTTTACAATAAGGATATCAATGGGAAAGTGATTCTTTGGTAATTCTTTGGTTAAATCATATCATGATATAATAATACCCATAAGTTCTTCTAAATTATTTTTTTCTCATTGTTTCTTCTAAACTTTTTTTCTCATAATTTCTTCTGAACTCTTTTTTGTAAGCCCTAGCATTGTTAAAATACTGTTTTGCTTATACTTAGAGTTTTATTGAGGAATAATTGACATACAGTTAACTGCACATGTTTAAAATGTACAGCTTGGTGGATTTTAACATGTATGTATCCATGAACGTGCTGTGTTACTTTGATCACCACAGTCAAGATAGTTAATATATTTATCACCCCCAAAAGTATTTCTTTGTGTCCCTTCATAATCCCTCCTGTCTCCTTCTCCTCCCTGACTCCACATACCCCAGCAACCATTGATCTTTCTGTCACTATAGATTAGTTTGCATTTTCCAGAGTTTTATATAAGTGGAAATCACATGACCTTTTTTTTTATTCTGGCCTCTTTCATTCAGCATAATTGTTTGAAAGTTCATCTATGTTCTTGCATCTGTTAGTAGTAATACCTTTTTTTTAAAAAAATGCTTTATTGCGGTATAATTCATGTATCATACAATCCACCAGTTTAAGTTGTATGTCTTTGGTTTTTTTGTATATGCAAAAAGTTGTATAAGCATCAGCCATAGTCAGTTTTAGAACGTTTTCATCACCTCAAAGTCCTGTATGCATTAGCAGTCTTTTCCCATTTCCCCCATCTCTCAGCTGCAGCCAACCACTAATCTGCTGTCTCTGTCTATAGATTTGTATATTCTGGACATTTCATGTAAATGGAATCAATTGTGACTTAGTATAACGTTTTGAAGGTTCATCCATATTGAAGTCTGAATCAGTACTTCATTCCTTTCTGCGGCCAAATAATATTCCATTGTATGGCTATACCTATCACATTTATCAGTTTATCAGTTCATTAGCTGATAGACATTTGGGTTGTTTTCACTTTTGGGCTATCATAAATAATGCTGCTGTGGTGTACTCTTGAAACCAACTGCTTTCCACTGTCTAAGCATTCTATTATAGTGAAAGAGAAATACGAAAGAAGCAAAGGAGTAACTTGTGGGTTCTGCGGGTTTCAGGGTTATAGCATTTGCATTGAAGATTCTAAGATGTCAGGTTAGTCTTCCTGAGCCCAGAACTACTTTTTCACTCTTGCTTAAGCTTGTGAGCTACCAAAACCAATGTTGTGAGGGGAGTGAGGATAGAATGTTTTGAAAGAATTAGCAGTTAGCTTTCTTATCTCCCTACTTTTCCCCCACACTTGTACTTTTTTTCTCATTTCCTCAGGAAAGGAGATGTGGCATTACTGAACTGTACAGCCATTGTGAATACCAGCAATGAAAATCTTACAGATAAGAACCCTGTGTCAGACAGTATCTTCATGCTCGCAGGACCTGATTTGAAGGAGGACCTCCAGAAACTTAAGGGTGAGTGAGGTTTCCTAGGTATATTATTGCTTAGGAAACATTTATTTTTGATATGTGAAGAAGCATGTTTTGCATTTAGTGAGAATACTAAGTAGATGTAGCTATTTTGTTGTTGTTTAAACTTCATAAATACAGCTTTTGAAAACCCCACATTGTGTTAGAAGCAGAGCACTGAGACTTTACTCTCATGTTCTCAAATTTGAAAATGACAGCCACTGTTGCCAGTTAAATCTTTGGTAGTGTTTTCTTGGCTGTATATTTTTCTTGCAGTAATAAGCTTTGGGAAACAACTATCCTTTCTTTAAACTGAAAAATTTTATGATTTGATATTGATAGAGAATTTTTCATATACCTCATGGGAAGTGATTATTACACTTTGGAAATGTAATTGATTTACCAATAAATGCATTTTAAGAGCAAAATATATTCTTGACTAATTTTGCATTCGCTCCTTTTTTCTTAACCAGAACATTCTTCTGAGAATATTTCACTGGAAATGGGGACAGGAAGAGTTCTATTAGTTCAGAATCTTGTTTACTTTATTTGCATTCATTTTCTTAAATTACCAACCTGGCAAACCAGGTTACTGTTACTTGAGCCCAAATAGAATATTATGAAATTCAATCATCCCATTTTATAAAAAGTAATTATGAAATACAGCAGTGTTTCTTAAAATGTAAACAACAAATCTCATCTCCATAAAATTCTGATTTCTTTGACCTCTACCATTTAATAGTGAAAACTGTTTTCTAACCTAATAAAGATACTAGCATTTGAGCAGGAATACATAATGCTGACTCCATAAACAAAGGAATAGGGAAGAAGTACATTATCTAATCAAGAAACTGAACTCTATGATAGCAAAAAGAGGGGGGAAAAGGCCTTAATTAAACTAAAAACATGCTACCATGAAGAACATGTAGAAATTAGAAAATGTCGTACAGATAATACTGAGAAGTTCCTTGATAATGGTAATAGAGAAGTTGGACTGGAAAAATTCCTTATGGTCCATGTGCGTATGTGTGTGTGTATTCTCAACCTTAGAGCTGGACTTAGGGATAAGAAAAAGGAAGTAATAAAATCTAATACAAGAATACAAGTAAAGCTTCAGTATTTAACAGCATATGTTTGAGAGCCTCCAAGCAAGAGTTTACATTATAACTCTTCCCTTCACTAACTGTGTAATGTAAAACCAATTACTTCACCTCTGGGCCTGAGTTTCCTTTTCTCTAAAGTGGGCATGGTGATAATAGTCTCTACCTCAGTTTCTGACACATAGCAAGAGTTCAGTGAGTATTTGGGGATGGAAACAATATCATGAAAACCAAATTAAATAATGACCATTAAGTGTTAGGCACATTCTAAGTGTTTAATGTTATTGCTGATGTTAGCTACAGGCCTCAGTTGTTTGATGAGTCAGTGCCAACCTGCGGGCATCTTCAACAACTTCATGAGTGATTACAGTGTGACTTCCCAAATCTGTGTGTGATAGAAAGCTGAGAGGAGTTAATAAGGAGATTTTGGATATTAGACCAAAGAATTTTAAATATTCTGAACCGACTGGTAGTATGAGCCAAAAAATGAAAACATTGACAGGGATGAATATAAAAGTTTTGCAATAAGTTTAAAACCTTAATTATCCAAATTCTGGTTGGGGAAGCCCAGTTTGACAACCCTTATTATATAAGAAAGTATTTGCTATTGGAAAAATGGCATTATCATTCATTCCATTTTTCATGCAAAAAACTTCAGGTTAGCGCTTTACTCCTTATCCCCCACATAAAGTTTGTCATCAAGCCATAAATATATCTTGTATCTCTTTATCACCACTGCCTCCAAACTAGCCTATCCTGCCATAATCCCCTCTGTGGACTACAGCCATAGCTTCCCTTTCATCTGGTTTCCCTACCTTCATTCTTCTTTAACTAAATCTCTTTAACACATGCAGTAAGCATTGCTTTTTAAATTGCAAATCCCTTAGTATTGGTTCTCTGCTTTAAACCATGTAGTGGCTCCCATTACACTTGAAATGTAAACTCCTTAAACTGGTTTCCTCAAGACCTTCAAAATATCAGTTACTTGCCTCCAGACTCCTTTCACATCCCCTTTTCCGTTCTGTAACATATTGAACCAATCTGATCTCTAATTTCTTCCTTTAGCTCCTTTTCAATTTTGCATGTACTTTGTTCTTTCTCTCAGTTCTTCACTCTTATTCTTAAGTCTTTGCTTGTATCTCTTTTGCAAAGCACTGTTCCATTTACTTCAGAATTGGCCAGTCTCCCCATGATATATACTTCCAGCATGTAGTACTTCTCTTTGGGGCTCTTATCACAGTTGTAATTTCATAAATTGTTTACCTGATGAAAGTGTTCTAAACTTTGGCTTCTATGAAAGTCTTATTGGTCCCCATGTGTTCTGTAACAAGAATAATGGAGTCATCCTTTAAGGAATAGAAAAAAGACTAGAAATTCTCTGGGATTTTAACTAGCTAGACTCAGCAATGATAAGGTCTCATTTCTACTGAGAACACTATCAGATTATATCACTAGAAATACAGCATCATAGAGGAAGGTAATTTTTTATCAGCTTAAAATAGACTATTATGTCTATAAGATGTTTTATGTAAGCCTGATGGTAATGCACAGGGAAAAAACCTTTAATAGATACACAAAAGATAAAGAGAAAGGAATTAAAACATACCAGTAAGAAAAAGAAGTCACAAAGGGAGACTGTGAGAAAGGAACAAAGGAACTTAAAAAAAACCCAGGAAGCAATTAACAAAAGGGCCATAGTAATTCCTTACCTAGCAATAATTATTTTAAGCATAAAAGGACTAAGTTCTCCAATCAAAACACAGAGAGTCATTGTTGGATTTAAAAAAACAGATCCAACAGTATAGTGTCTACAAGAGATTTCACTTTAGGTTTAACGACACACATAGGCTGAAAGAGAAGGGATGCTAAAAGATATTCTGTGCAAATGGAAACCAAAAGAGAGCAGGAGTGGCTGTACTTATGCCAGATAAAATAAACTTTCAGTCAAAATTGATCACAAGAGATAGAGGTCACTATATGTTGGTACAGGGGTCAGTTTATCAAGGGGATGTAACAGTTGTAAATATGTATGTACCCAACATTGAAGCACCTAAATAAATATTTAAGGCAAATGTTAATATACTTAAATGGAGAAACAGCAATACAGTAATAGTTGAAGACCACAGAATACCACTTTCAACAGTGGATAGATCATGCAGGCAAAATTAATAAGGGAACAGAAGGCCTAAATTATACTGTAGACCAAATGGACCTAATAGACATATACAGGACATTCCATCCAACAACACCAAATACACATTTTTCTGAAGTGCATACAGAATGTTTTCCAGGATAGATCATATGTTGGGCCACAAATCAAGCCCTGTCAAATTTAAGAAGATTGAAATCATATCAAGTATCTTTTCTGACCACAATGGTGTGAAACTAGAAATCAGTAATAGGAAAATTTAAAAATTCACAAGTACATGGAAATTAATACATTTCTGAACAATTAGTGGGTCAAGAAGAAATCAAAAGGGAAATCAGAAAGTATCTCAAAACAAATGAAAATACAATATACCAAAATTTATGGGATGCAACAAAAATAGTTCTAAGACAGAAATCCATAGCAATAAATGCCCAGATACTAAGCAAAAAGAAAGGTCTCAAATAAACATCCTAACTTTAATCCTCAATAATTAGAAAATGAAGAATAATCTAAATCCAGAATTAGCAGAGAGTAGGAAATAATAAAGTCTAGAGCAAAAATTTAAAAAAATAGAGACTAGAAAGAATTTGGGAAAAAAAATCAATGAAAAAATAATTGATTTAAAAAAATTGACAGACCTTTAGACTAACCAAGAAAAAGCAGTCAAATAAAAGCATAAATGAATGAGGAGAAAGTATTACAGCTGATACCACAGAAATATAAAGGATCATGGAAGACTGCTATGAATAATTATATGCCAACATATTGGATAACCTAGAAGAAATGAGTAAATTCCTAGAAAGATACGGTCTGCCAAGACTAAATTGTGAAGAAACAGAAAATCTAAACAGACCAGAAGTAAGGAGATTGAGTCAGTAATCACACACCTTCCCAACAAAGATAAGCCTAGGACTTGAGAGCTTCACTGGTGAATTCTATCATACATTTTAAAAAGAATAGTAATTTTCCTCAAATTTTTTCCCAAGAATCAAAGAAGAAAGAACATTTCTAAATTCATTTTACGACACTAGAATTACCCTAATATCAAAGCCAGGTAAGACACTGCAAGAAAACTGTAGTCCTGTATCCCTGATGAATATAGGTGCAAAAATTTTCAACAAAATAGTAGCAAACCAGATTTAACAGTACATTAAAAGGATCATACACTACATTTTCTTTATTCATTTATCTACATATTTGTGTGTATACATATATATATATATACACATACACACATATAAACAAGTGTATGTATATTGTATGTATATAAAATACACATACACACAATGGGATATTTAGCCATAAGAAAGAAGGAAATCCTGCCATTTGTGACAACATGCATAGTACTTGATGGTATTATGTATGGTAAGTGTAGTAAGACAGACAAATATTACATGACTTCACTTATATGTGGAACCTAAAAAAAAGCTGAAGTCAAAGAAATAGGAGAATGGTGGTTGCCGGAGAGTAAGGGAGATGACATGTTGATCAAAGGAAACAAATTTCCAGCTATAACATGATTAACGTCTGAGGATGTAATGTACAACATGGTGATTATAATTAACAATTCTGTGTTACATACTTGAAAGTTGCTAAAAAAGTAGATCTTAAATGTTTTCATAAAAGAAAAAGGTAGTTATTTGAGGTGGTAGATGTGTTAACTAACCTTATTGTGGTTAACTATTTCTCAATGTATACTTGTACCAAATCTTCATTTTATACACTTTAAACTTATACAGTGTTATGTGTTGATTATG